TGACAAGAGCTGTTACAAATTCATCCAAGCTAGTTGATATGTTTCCTGTAGGAATGAAGCTTGTACTAAAAGAGAAATTAACAATTCTTTGTTCAGAGAACAATGTAATATAAAATGTCATTTGATAGATAATAATCTTGGCTTTCTATTGGTTATACATAATATAGTATTATATGTAAGAGAAAACTACTAACAAATCCGGAAAGAGATGATGTGACAGGTGGGTGTGGCAGGAGGGGTTTGATTTTCTGTTTGATGCCTCTGTAACCAAACAAGATTCAAGGCTATAAAAATTATGCTTTGTCTGAGCAAAGACTGATAGAGAGTAAGTTACATTAAATTTCGTACTTATTGGAGAAGTGGTGAGTAAAATACAGAAGAAAGGATGCCAAGAGAAGAAACTTAAAATTTTTCACACTAGGGGAAATTCAGGATTTTTTAAAATATTGCATTACAAAATTAAGAACTTAAAACTTATTTACTATTAAAATATGGATTATTAGTTATGATTTTATGCTATACTAATCAGTATAACATAAACAAAAAGTAGTTTAATTAAATTTTGAATGTAAGTCATTAAAAACCTTGTGACATGGGCAATAAAGGATGCCTGTGCAGAAAGGGTTAAATTGTTTTAAATTTCTGTAAGTTAGGTCTAGTTTTGATCAGGAATGCCAGATATTTTTCAAAGGTGACAAGCTTTATTGGCTCTCAAAACAAACCACTCCTTAAACACCCAGTGCTAATTTCTGCATTTCTGTATAGAAGCTGTAGTAACACAAAAATGGCATTGCACAGTATTATGTGTTACAGTGGCTTTGGCCTATTTTATCTAGCATTTGCCTATGTGCATAAACTTTGTAGCTGCATTCTTTTTGTTATTGTTTTTAGTTTAGTTGGTTTTTATAATGGGACAGATCCATATTTTTATTCAATAATATTGAAATGGCCAAGTATGCTACAATTCAAACAACACTCTCCACACAAGAAAAAAGTAAAATATGCACTCACTCACAAATACTGTCCCATTCCAACAATATGTCTACCTCATTGTCTTGGTGTGATCTCAGCCGTGCTCTGCTTCTTCCCTTTATTCTATGACCAATCAGCTTTGGAAGAAGTAATTACTGAGTTTAATGAGATGATCCAGACAGATACCATATATTTCAATATTAAGTATTATACAACTGCTTATAACACTACTTGCAATTCAAGCCCAATTGAGCACATTGCTATTAAAACAAGCCCTAAAAAGTGCAACCCAAATTTAAAAAAACAAATGCATAGGAAATATGCAGACTTTGCAACAGTGGTTTTGACTTTTATCAGTTTTCTTTAAAACTAATAACTTTTACAATTGGTTCTCAGCTTTTTTTTTTATCTTGGATCATTTAAAAAAAAATTGTCTAGTTACATGTTTACTTCAAGTAATTTTTTCTGTACTAAACAAAGATGTGTTTCTAACATCTTTCTATGTCACTTGAAAATAGAATGCTAGGCTTTTGCCCAAAAAGAATGACTTAGTTTATCAGTTCTGAATAGTTAAAACTAGTGTTAGAGAAGAGATCATCAAGTATGTTTAATTTAAAGACAGCAAAACAAATAATAGCTACTCAAAAATTTTTTATCATATCCTATAATGTATAATTTGCAACTTTCATAACTGGTACAGTAAATGAAAAAAAAAAAAAAACTTTACTAGAGCTTTAGGACATTTTCTTTTGAGTTAATCCCATTTACTTCAAGGTATTCATTGGAAAAAAATTCTGAAAATATTACTTTACCATAGTTTTGTTATGATATAATTAGTATCTAGAGAGAGACAAAGAAACTCCTTTTATTTCTGTTACATTAAGTTGTTGTTACTGTTATTAACTTGTATATTTTTTTATTTGTTTGTTCTGTAATGGTTTTTTAATGTCTCAAGTTGGTTTAGGGAAGAATCTTGAGGAAAACTTATCTGGTATAGGATGAGATTGGCTATTCTCAGCATAACACCTTCATACAACGTTATAGTAGTAACAAAATGGATAATGGAAGATTAAGGAATGTTTAATAAGGTTCTTTCTTGTAAACTTGGAATATTAATATTAACAAATAATGGGCTGGTTACTTCTATGTTATATGTTTGTATCATTGCATACTCAAGACAGGTATTAATACTGAGGTGGCAACTAACAAAGTAGCTTATTGGTTCTTTTACTGTTTATGACACTAAATTACAAAAGCAGTTTCTTTTACAGACTACAGCCTTTTTTTATCTAATTTAGTGTGTTCCAGAAAGGTATTGTAACATCGTCAGAATGTTCATTCCAGAATGGTATTTTAACATGGTCAGTGTGTTCATTTCAGAAAGGTGTTATAATACAGCGAGAGAATTTTTGAAAGGTGTCTATATAATATAGCCAGAGTTCCAGTAAGGTATCTTAGTAATATAACCAGAACATTTCAGAAAGGTATCATTGTAATATAGCCAGAGTTCCAGTAAGGTATCATAGTAATATAACCAGAACATTTCAGAATGGTATCATTTTAATATAGCCAGAAAGTTATCATTGTAATATTGACAGAAAGTTTCAGAAAGTTATCTTTATAATGTAGCCAAAATGTTTCAAAAAAGATCTTTGTAATATAGCCAGAGAGTTCCAGAAAGGTATTATAATATAACCAGAGAGTTCCAGAAAAGTGTTGTAATATGACCAACAGTCCTTGTTATTTTGTTTTTTAGGGAGAAATGGTAAACAGAATTGAATATCAAGTGCAAAATACAAAGGATTTCATTGAAAGTGTTAAACAAGACACAAAGAAAGCATTGGTATACCAGAGTAAAGCGAGAAAGGTAAGCAAAATATTGGTTACTGTGTCAATTCAGCTGCCATATTGGTACAGTTGTTGCACAACTTTCAATGATATTTTATATCTACTAAATGGTAGGTCCAGTTGCCTGTTTCAGTGAACTTTGATATAATAGCACAGTCCAAGAAGGAAGTTTATAAACTATGTTAATTTTGTTATCTTGAGAATTAGGTTTGGTCAGTAGTTTGAAATTGTATACACAGAGAGTCTAGGACAACTGCCGGCGGGCATCTGCCAATCAAAAGATCTGAGTAGTCCAAATTCCCAAAACAAATTTATTACATGTACTTTAAAGGAGGATTGTCTAGATTTTAAACCAAAAGTCCATTTCAAATTTTCGTTTCCAGTTAGTAACTATTTAGAAATTAAATTGCTAATAGCTAATGTTATATAATAATATATATGTAAATTTTTGAACTCATTTATAATATTGTTTTTTATTTTCTTTGATCAATGCTAGTTTGGTGCCCATGACCTATCTAGTCAAACATTATTTATAAAAAGGCAGCAGTTGTTCTGCTCCCATACACAGGATATAAAGTTGTAAAATTAAATACATTTTGCAACATCTCATAATACTGTTATGAAAGTACTACTGAGTATTGTTCAATTTATGAAATAAATCTGTTATTTATTTAGTTTCACTGTTTTAGAAATATAATAGAATAACTGGCAATTTTGTTTTTCAAATTCATTAAAATTAATTAATTAGAATATCACAATTTTATTAGAGGAATTAACAAACTGTTTCTCAGTGTTGGTTTGTCATTAAATACTACAGAGTACAACTGTATAAAATAGGGATGGCAACTTTGAGGTAGTAGAGGACCACGTAATATAATTAAAAGCTTTGACAGGCCATATCTTTATTTTAGTAGCCTGCATATCATTTGATTAGAAATAGGCATACTGTTGTGGTAATATAAAAATCTAAGACCTAGAGACCTTTCTGCAAGTTATTAAGAACTTGAGAATACATATTTTGTTTATATGCATAGGAAAGTTATAGATACCAAATTTTGTGGTGTTTTTTCTCACAAGTTATCAAAGTATTTCATTCCCAAAACATCAAATAATGTATTGAATTCATTCTCTTAATATTTTTCAATGCAAGAAATGCTAAAATATATTTAGATTTTTCTTTGAATAAACATTTGAATGTGGGAATGCAATAATATATTTTGGTCAAGTGGTACTGATAGTTATAGGGTTAAAATATCTAACTTTACTTTAACATTGATGTTAAAGTAAAGGTGGCTTATTTTTGTTTTCAAAGCTTTGAACTAGACATTGTATTTATAGTGGAATATCAGACCAAATTGGAGGAGTTATTTTCCATTTTTTATAAATACAAAACTTCTTAACCGATAACAATTTTTTATTGTTTGATTTTAAAATCATTAAATTTTGTTGAAGAAGAATCATTTTTACAATATGAAAAAGTGGTATTTTAAATTTTTGTATTTGATATTTTATGTTTATAAATTACCTCTAAAAAAGAAAGAAAAATAAATGTGAATATTATTTTAGGCCAGGTCTGATGTTAATTGTTTGATATTATATTTTTTATTATTATATATATATATATATAAT